TGTTCTATCTCTGAGTTCTATACATAATGCTTAGGATCTTAAAAACTTGCAGTCATCCAAGGCTGCACAACAATTGGCCTCTATTCACTTGGAGAAACAAAGAAAGAAGGAGAAGAATAGGAGGCGGCATTACATTTGATACATTACACACTAGTGACCAAACCAGAAGAGTTGGGGAATGACATCAAAAACATCACAAAAGAAGAGAGCAAAAGAAAATTAAAAAGACAAGAAAGAATGAAGAAACTAAAATGGATGTCAGAAGAGACTCCAAAACTTGCTCTCCAGTGTAGAGATGTTAAAGTCAATGGAAGAAATGAGGAGGTAAAATTGCTGAATAGAAAATTTCAAAGAGCAGCTCAAGAAGACAATGTCAAGCATTTTTTTTTTTTTTAATGTGCAAAGATCTGGAGTTAGAAAACCAAAGAGAAGAACACTCTCAGCATTTCTCAAAATTGGACATAAAATTAGACAATAAATAAGGAAAACCATAGAAGAATTGATGCTTTTAAGTTATGGTGCTGGAGAAGAATATTAGAAGTACCATGGATTGTTTGAAGAACAAACAAATCTATGATGGAAGCATAGCCAGAATGTTCATTAGAAGCCAGGATTGCAAGAGTTCATTGCACATACATCCGACATATTCTCAGGAGGATATCATGCTTGGTAAAGTGGAAGGTCAGCGAAAAAGAGGAAGACCCCCAATAAGATGGATTGGCATAGTGGCAGCAGCAATGGGCTCAAGCTTAATGATTGTGAGGATGGTGCAGAACCAGTCAGTGTTTCATTCTGTTGTGCATAATGTCTCTATGAATCTGAGTCAATTTGATGGTATCAAACAACAACAGCAGCAGCATTACCACTCGAGAACATTCTGAAATAGTTAGGTATCTATCCCCCTAAAAAGTTAATAGGTGGCTGGCTTACAAGTGTTCAAGAGGGAGTTTAGTTTCTGAGTGTGCGGGGGAAGGTAGAATCCCCCACTGAATAGTTTTCATCTGGTCTAGATAGGTCTGGCAAAAGGAGATGGGAATAGGATTCTTTTGATTCAACAGTGAGTAACTGTTATGATGACTAATTGTGATTGTCAGAACTGTAAAAGTATAACATAAAGGGAGGCATAGTTAATCTTACATTCTAGAAAGAGAAGACCCTAAAGACCAACGAGAGAAAAGTGCATGAGTGGAACGTGAGACCCTAACCAGAAGCAGCGACACCAGAGATAGTGGTAGAGTGAGTGATGGCATGGATAGATAGAGCAGCTGAGTCTAGACTCATGGAAAGAAGAGGGCTGTGTGTTGGTGACCAGAAGGCTGGCTTGCAGAATGGGTCCTTTGGTTGTTTAAATTATTATATATTCCTGAGTGTTTTCATGTACACCTCCCCCCCGCAAAAAAAAAAAACAAACTACAGAATGAATAGAAGCAAATACTGTTGAATGATAACAAATGGAGGGGATTGTAATCATTGCAATGAAACAAAATACGATAGGACAAGTGCAAAACTGATGTTTTCCCATGTAAGCTATCAGTCAATTCACAATAAAAGCCTTTAAAAAAAAAAATGTTAATAGTCTGAGGCCCACCTCCTCCTTGTCCCTCTCTATCCTGAGCCCTTTCCTGACTTTTGATCAGCTATAGTTCAGTTCCTTCATGGTCCATCAAGACTTCTGTTGCATAAAGACATGATGTGTTTCTTTTGATCAGCTATAGTTCAGTTCCTTCCTGGTACATCAAGACTTCTGTTGCATAAAGACATGATGTGTTTCTCTTTAGGGAAGAAACCAGGGATGCTGTGGGCAGGTCAACACAATATTCCCTGACTCTCTCATTCACTCACTCATAAATTTATTTGTTTATTTATTCAGTAAAAGCAGACTGATTATATATATATATATATGTTGTTAAGTGCCATGTAGTCGGTTTCGACTCATAGTGACCCTGTGCAGAGTTTCCAAGGCTGTAAATCTTTACAGAAGCAGAAAGCCTCATAT